GAGAGAGAGAGAGAAAGAACCTACGTGCCGGAACGTGGTTCTTCTTTACTGGTGCAGCGCGACGCGAGGAACGATAAACGTGTCCGAGGTAGGAGAAATATCGTTTTGGAAGCAGAGAGAGGGTCGTTCAACGTCCAGGTACCGTTACTGCACATCTGGCGCTGTCTCCATGAATATAAGCTCGTACCACTGGCATCGGTAGTAGTAGTAGCAGCAGCAGCAGCAGCAGCAGCAGTATCACTGGAACTACCCCATTTCCACCATCTCCGTCTCCTTCTTTCTTCATACTCTCTTCATCTTCCTTTACTTCCTACCTACATACACACACATGTACGTACACACATATATCTTTCTTTCCATCTCCTTCTCCTCCTCCTCCTCCTCCTCCTTCTTCTCCTAGTAGCCACTTTCGAGAAAGTTTCGCCACGATGTTCGGAGCCAGAGCGGTGTCAGATGTGGGAAGAGAAAAAGGGATGGAAAGGAAGAGAAGAGATGAGAAAAGAAAAGAAGAAAAAAGGAGAGAAAAGGAAGATCGAAGAATCCGAGCTCGTGTGTAGTCCCTTTCGAAGAGGGCGACCGCGTCGTATGGTCTTTTCAGTCGGAACGTTCAGCGTCGTCTTTAGAAGAGAGAAAGTACGAGGAGGCGGAGGGTAATCGTTTGCGAACTTCCTGCCAACTTCTTTCGTGGCAGAGTGAACGGAAGAAAACTAAAAGAGAAATCCTCGGATAACAGACGTTGCATTTCGGAATCAATTTATTCACCCTCTCATGGGACCCTAGCCGATATTCGACGATACTACTATACTCTTCGATCTATATGTTCCTCTAACGTTCCGCTTCGTTACTCTTCTTTGTCTCATTTCTTTCTTCTTTCTTGACACTGGTGCACGAGATAAAAAAGAGACGAGAGTTACTGGCACAAAAAGATCTTATAATGTATTTTTACTTTGTTACGCTGGTACATAGATAATTAACGTCGCACTTTATTAATACGATTACGACTGATTCTACGTCGACTCGATTTACTCGATTTCTGTAAGTAGACGAGATTCGATCAAATTTTCATAAGATTCGGAGTCCCGTTGTCATTGATTTTTAGATTTACTTCTAAGAGGATGTCAATAATCGTATAGAATGTATTTTCGTGAATATCAATGTAAGTTGCTAGATATATGAATTGGTAAGGACATTTTTCCATTGTTTTGATGAAATTAAGTATTCTCATCGTATTCCCTCTTAATCGGCTTGTCTCTGCTCGGAGATGTCGTCCGACATCGACGAGTCTTGGTTTCCTCGTCATTGGCAGCATCGTTGACTCGGTCTCTCGTTCCGAGTCCTATTCTGGGATATTGTAGACTAACGTGGGGTGGCTAGGCTGCCAGCCAAGCCGGCAGCATTGTCTCTCCTTTTATCGCGAAAGAGTAGAAGGTTGACGGAGATCGGTCTGAAGCCACAAACTAATTACGACCCCGGGCGCCGTCGAGAATAGAGGCGCCGATGGCGCACGCTGGGGTTGGGTTATACATCCACCAAGGGAGAGTTGTAGAAAGAGAATAACGCTGTCGTTAGCACCAAGCCGGGGGAATGGACTCTGTGTATTGGTATATCGTATATTCTACCCTTGATACTTATTAACTCTTCCTATTCGCATATAGAAATATATAGGAAAGTCTCTTATTGGTCCAACGTCGACGCTCGGTTGTTTACGATGAATTTTTTAAATTATCTTCTTTCTTGTTTACTAGCTTTGTTGGAGATAGCAGCGCGAAGTCGCAGTATTTATTTAAGACACTTTATTTAAATAATACGTAAGAATTCATAGAGCGCTAATTGTAAGACAGAAACTAGTGATACTTTGAATAGTAAGATTGTGATGCTATTTTTTATATTATTGATTGTGAAAGTACAAGTAGTAATATACTTTATACTGAATTATGTGAAGTAAAGTGAAAAAGAAAATATGTTGGAATACGCTGTGTACTGGTCGGTGATTCGTTATAAAATGATCGGTTCAATACCGATACTTAATCCGTCTCCTGTTTCTCCTTATCTTTTTCAAAGAAATCCAACCGATAGAAAGAGCTCCCTTTTATGGTTCCTTTTTTCAGCCTATTTGATCTATTAATCGCTCGTGTGTGTGTGTGTGTGTGTGTGCATGTTGCCAATAAAGAAACATGTATTTTTCTCAACAAGCTCTTATAGTAGAATATTTAGCTAATACGAACGCACATGGTGGTTGCATTCGATAAATTCTCGCTGATATCATTGCAATAATCATTAATGATTGATGTTTCATTCGTAAAACTAATTAAGATTCTATTCGTTTCCGTCGATTTAAACCACATTTCAATTGCGTAACATTCAACGTCTACTATTATATTTGCGTATTGGACGACATTACTATTTGACCGTTTTACTTGAAGTAATGAAAGCTCTACCGAGCGAGATGTTCCGCAGCAGCGTTCTAATATTCGACCGCTAAACTAAAACGTGTTTAAAGCGCATCGAGAGTCAAGTGGCTAGTCCCTGAAAGCCAACCAGCCGATGCAACGCAGAAAGCATTCTCGTGCTTTGTGTCTTCTCGTATTAAATGCGGACAAACTATTCGCGTAGCTTGGTGTAACACGATAATGCATAGTTATCGAGTTTTCCTTTCCTCCTCCCTCTCCTCCTTTCTTCCACCTCTCTCTCTCTCTCTCTCTTACACATACACATACTCAGTTATCCTTGAAACGCTGACGAATTTCAACGAATATTTACATAGAGTAGCGAGTAGACCCTGTTCGCGATTCCGACTGAGACAGGTCTACTACAAGGACGCGAGTCTTAATTCTCTTTTACCTCTAACAATTGGGAAAAATCATGTTCTACCCTACAATTCTATTCACAAACTATCATATCACTTCTACACAACTTCCTACCCAACCCGTCTACATGCCTAACAAGGGTGCCGTTTTAATGCCAAATCTCTTCAAATGGAAATGCAAATTGTAAGAAATTGGAAAACCTTAGAGGAAGCCCATGTTCAACAGTAGATTAGAAAAATTGAATGACGATAATGAATTTGTATACAAGCAACGCTTTACGATTATAAAGAAAGAAACTACATGAACGTTCTTCGACTATCATTCACGTATACTTTTTTTTCAAAATTTATTTCGCGAATTCCACTCGTCCGTTTTTATTGAAAGAACAACCTAAAGAATCGTTGAATGGCTTTAATACGTTAATCGTACTAGAGCTTGGTAGTAGAGAATAACGCGAGACGGTGTGCCGTAATTCGCGGCAAAATGCCTTCATCGTTTCAATGCTATCCGAGTTCGAATTGGTGTGCGCCGACGCAATTAAATCCTCGAGCGCCTAATTTGAGCCTCCTCCTCCTCGTTCTCCTCGTTATCGTCCTTGGCGTTGGCAGCAACGGCGGCGAACGAGGATTAGAAAGAGAAGGTAATAGGACACGACGGTGGGAAGGACGAGTTTGGTCGGCTTAATTGAACTGTATAGACCTAACGACGTAATTGCTAAGACGATTTAGAATACGTAAACGAGAGTATATGCTTCGAGCTGCCAAACGACTACTCCAACGGGCAAAAAGAGAAAGAAAAAACGTACGAAAAGAGTGAAAGAGTGAGAAGGAGAAAAAAAGGAATCGAGTTGATTGACGATATGAAAGGTTTGGCTTGACTTAACGCGTACCTCATATAAGAATGCTTGCCAATCAATTGTGCAGACTAAAAAAAATCTCTTTTAAGAAGGTAACATTTTTATTATAATTGTGCGATTAGAGAGCGACACGTACGATATCCGAGAGACTATAGAAGTGTTTAATTGATCTCTCGGGCGTATAGAGAATATTTTCTCGAGTATTCAGAACGCAAAAGAAAACATGTTTGATGTGTGCGATGTTATCGAGAAGGCGATATCTCTTTCGAAAAAACGATGAAAGCATTTATTTCCGAAGAGTAATGTGTATCGTTCGATCAAAGCAGACTTTCTCCTACCGATCCGGCCAGCTTACTTATCGACCGCGTAAAAGCTCCTTCGATTTCACTCGAAAAATATTCAAATGAGTTTCCACAGAGGAAATCCCATTCTAAAGAAATGTTGCTAACGCTATCTTAGAGATTGTGCGAGAGAATTACAACTGAGAAAGAGGGAGATTTTTCTGTACCACCTTTATCCCGCGTGTAGTTTTTTTTTTATCTCAATTTACAAGAAAAGAGCCAAGTTAACAGGACATCGATTTTTTTCTAATTCTACACAGTTGTAGGGTGTATACTCAACTTTGCAAGTGTATACTCAACCGTTATCAAGAAAACGAAGGGAGAGATTTTACATGTATTTTTGTATCTCAGTTCGTTTAATGTTAGATGGAAAAACACAATTTGTAGAGTTTAATTAAACGAAAGAAAAATTCTATTTCAGTTGTCTGAAATGTTTTGAGTCTAATAAACGACGATGGGTTGAACAGTTTTCAGCCTAATATAGCGTGCAAAACCATAAAAATCAAAACAAATAATTTCTTCCTTTTGAATTAAACTGTAAAAAATTTATTTGTCCGTCTGAAATGAATTAGTATATAAAAAGGCATGCGAAACTTCTTCCTTCGTTTTCTTTGAACGGTTAAGTATTGAGTCTTATTGCTTACACGATATATGATTCTAACGATCCCCTACAACTATGTGGAATTTAACAAAAATCGATATACTGTCAACTTGGCTCTCCGTTTGTTAGTTATAAAAAGAAATGTTAGAAATATATGATTATCATTAACGAAATGATTGCGTTACGTTCGTAAGGTTAGTTTGAAGTTCATTGTCAAAGATATAAGACATCGGTAAATCTGTATAAACTAGAGGGAACGGTAAGGAAGCAGAGAAAAAAGAAAAATGGTTTTCAGAGGGATTAAGAGGTCATGTGCCTGGCGGTTGAGGGTAAATGCAGACCGGATCAAACATCACCGAGGGATTATCGCTGGACTTTTGCAATAAGTACGGTACCTTGTTCTTGTCCAAGAACGGACCATGATCCTAGCTCTATGATGAACCCTTCGATCGACGACTCTCTCTCTCTCTTTCCTCGGGGCTGAAACTTTTTCGCACGATGTATCACTTCAGCATCGGAACGACTTTCGAGGGCTTACGACCTTCGACGATTGAACGTTCGTCGAAATCTCTCGATCGCCTTGGAATTTATGTTTCGAGGGTAGAAAGATCACGGGGGTTAAGAAGTTGAAAAGCCCTTAAGATAATCACTATACGGAGGATGCTTCTTAACGACTGTAGACTAGAGGAAAAAAGTATATACGTATATAGTCAGAAGGGAGGTGAAATGGAAGACCGTCAACGTAAGCTCACGATCATCTTGGTGTCGTACCTTTGACGCATTGCGCTGCAAGCACAACCCTCGCGAGGGTTGTTCTCTTGTTTCTTTTTACAAAAATAACTTCGACCTTTAACCTATTGTTATCTCGTACGGATTGATACTTTGTCTTTTTTAAAACGTCCACGGTTTAACTTCGCATGGCCATCGCTAAAAAAAAACGAACGCGGAAAAAGTGCCAATAAATGTGATCAATTTTTAAAGGCAGTTGTTGTCGTTGAAAAATTCAGTAAAAAAGATGTCCGCTAACGTTTCCACGGAAACGAGTATATCGAACGTTCCTTTCTGTTATTTTATCGAATAAAAATGATTCGAAAAACAGATAGGAAATGATTCTACTTTTAGATCAAATAAATCGATCCAATAAAACGATTTCAAACGTTGACTATTAGAAATGGTCGCATAGAAAGGGTTACGCGTGAAAAATATGATCATTTATTCGTGTAAAATTTGGTCTAGAATGGCGGGAAGAAATGGGAAGCAACTAGGCAAATAGTAGAGAACAACTTACCCGTTTGTTCGCGGTAAGTCAGTGCTCATTAGCGATGTAAGTCGTGTCTCGTGTTTGTGCGCTTTCGCGAACGCGTATGCGGCCTCTAACTTTGGACAATCCAGATAGAGGAAGCCGTTATTTCCCTACTTACAACCCATTACCGCGCACTCCTCGATTCCACTCCGTACTTACATATCTATCTACCTACCCACCTACCTACCCACCTACCTACCCACCTACCTACCCACCTACCTACGTAACTTCCTCCCTTTCCCGATTATTATTTGCATAATTCGGAGCGTTCGCCCGATACGGACGAGAATTTGATCGTTCACGCGAGCAAAGTGAAACGTGTCCTTTTTATTAACAACGAAAATAGTCCCTTAGATTGGTCGATGGTCAATACACATATCGCTACGATCGATACTCTCCTTTCAACTTGGATTTCTGCGGGTATGGAGAAAACCGTTGAGAAAAAAAAATTTGTAGAAAAAAAAAAAGGAAAAAAAATAGCAGAAAGTAGCAAGAAGACGCGGAAGTCTCGCGCACGGAATATACGTGGAATCACGTGTGATATCACGTCGATACCCATTCTCCGCAAAGACATCGTTACCTTTGGCTTCCGTGTCGGGAATACGTCGGCCTCGTTTCCGTGACGGGAATTCAAGTCCGTCTTTGTGAGCTAGGACCATCGACTTCCACCCTCACCCTTTTTCTTCCTCCTTTCTTTCTTTTTTCTTTTTTTTCAGTTCTTTGTCACCGATAAAAATATCCAAAGCGGATTGCCAGGACAGTCGTCTAACAATTTCACGCACGTGTCGAATCGCGGGGAACAACGGGAGCTACGTTTATAATTTGAAAAGTTTCTCCCTCGAAGGGGGGGGGGGAACGGAACGAAAGGTGAGGAAGGTTAATGGAAGGGGACGAACAAGAGGAAAGGGGGTGGTAGAACTTGAAAAGACGAAAAGTCTTCGAAGGAATAATTAGTCCAAAGCGAGAAATAAGGTAGAGCTATGGAATTACGTCACCGGTTGTTGGCCCAATTTCTCCAAAGAATCGATCAGTGGGCAGCGAGCGAGACTTTCCAAGGGGCTACTTTAAGGTCGTCGTCGTCGTCTTTGCAAGAATCTACGAAGCTTAATGACGAGGGAAAGAAGTTACGATTTCCCAATCGTTCCTCGAAAACTTCCACGTCCCTCGGACGACAAGAGAAAAGGAGAAAGAAAAGAACTCGTGGAAATCTCGTTCGGAACGTAGGTTTATAAAATTGTACTTTTCTTCGGTCCTTTCGCTTACTCGATTCCAAGATTCTCCGTACCACTTTTCTAATCTTCCTTCGAGGAAACCAAAGGATTCGAGTTTTTTCCTTTTTTCGTTGGGAAAAGAATTTCTATGAAATAGGAAACTGGTTGTAAGAATAAATTGTGCAAAGCAAAGAATAAGTTTTTTTTATTGTGTGGTTAAGAAAACGAGAGAAAGCAAAAGATTTATTTTGATCGTTGCTAGGATCGCGTTGGCATGGTGCTTTTGTCGATTCATTTGATTATATTAAGTATGAAAAGAGAAAAATTAAATGAACAAATAAAAAAAGTTTTAATAGCATTAGCGGGAAGCACGGGCCGGCCAATTTGCGGATAATGATCGTGAAGTTTGTATCGTTTACCGATCGATAAACGATGATTAATAAAATATCGACGATTACTCGCGTTCCACGCGAAAATTTCCAGGATAAAAATTTCAGTAGGGTTAAGTAAATTTAGTTGGATATTTTTAATTGTGAGATAGTTTTTGTATTATTTTTGTATAGGCAATAGACACGTAGAAAGGTTCTGTTAGACGCGAAAAAGGAAAATAGTATCGACGGTAGGGCAAACGTGAAATAAAGCATGTCGTAACGGTTTAATAAACGTCACGTGATATCGCGCAGCTTGCTTATAAAACGCGCGCGGGTAAATGACGGCGATAATGCCTTATCGTGCAAAGGATAAGAATCGAGAGCGAGTGGTTCACGGAAGCTACAGAATTCCAGGAGTTTCAACGTCGAAATTCGCGCGTCGATACATGCAAGTAGGATAGCGACGAGTCCGAGGAAAATAATTCATGCTACTCTGCCAGTCAGAATATCATCGTTTTCGAGAAAACTACGGTTGTCGGATAAGAGAGAGAGAGAGAGAGAGAGAGAGAGAGAGAGAGAGAGAGAGAGGGAGAAAGAAAGAAAGAGAGAGAAAATCTTTTATTCGATTTTTCAAATTCTGTATAACAATATCGCATTCACCTCATAATATTCTCTTCTCCGCTTCTACTTCTCTAAATATTCCAATGACCTTTATTATATTTTTCTTCCGTCTTGAATATATATACACGCATTATTCTTCCTTTTTCCCGACTATCATCTTCATTTATTTATCGACTCGTTTCCATCTTGCAATGCCTAACTAATATTTCATAAGCGATCAGAAAGACTAGTTGTCTTTTTCCATTGTTAAGCACGTATTCGTCGGAAATTTATTCCCTCTAGCGATTCGCTCGCACATGGGATGCGAGCGAAATGAAATTGAAAAAGAAAAAAGAGAAAAGGAACGAGTGGATGCGGCAAAGAATACATAGCCACATATAGAACACTATACACTCGAAACAACCTACGGTTCGCGTGACCTCGCGGAAATTCATGCGTTTAAACGTAAGTGTAATTACTTTGCTAAACTGCTAATTAATTTGACCATTTTACCCATCCTCCGCAATCGCCATTATCGACATTTTCGTTATTTCATTGAAAATCCGTATTCTGTGCCGCTTTATTTCATTAAATCAGCTATCGTTAGGCAAATATTGAAAATAACTCGATATACTACTTTCCGATGTATAGAATTTCGATATCCATTTATCTTTTTCTTTCTCTATATACGATTGATTATTTGCGTAACGATCGTCGAATATAATTCATTATAAATATATGCGGAGGGGTAATATTATATTTGTATAATGTTTTGACTTAGTCCACTATCACAGTTATCGGCACGTATACGTATATTCGTTTACGTATATTCGTTTACGTATATTCGTTTACGTATATTCGTTTACGAGAGACTCGATTTTTGTCGATGCTTTTATTTCAAATGATCGCTCTCGATTATCCATTTGAAAAAGAAAGAAAACAAGGGGTGCAAGAGAGTGGGAAAGAGGGCAAGAGGCAAAAAAAGAAAAAGAATCAACGCATACGTTGAAACGATTCTCGACGAATTTGGAACGGATAGGCAAACGTTTGCCGCGGCCGGTATTGCGTTCGAATCGCGATCCCAGCATTGTTTCTACTCTTTCGTAATGACTGTCGATCGATTTTCTGGTTCATTGAACCGATTCTTGCGCGCTTCGAATGGAAAGACATATGCTGGAACGTATGCATACATAGGTTTTGTACGAGATACGCGTATGAAGCGGAGATGCGAACGCGAATTTAGCAGAAAATTTATCTTTCCTCTATAACACGCGATGAATCTCGAGAAGTGAATTGGAACGATTGGACGATGATACAGTGAATTGAAATGAGAGAAACTATTCGCGTTCGTAGATAAGAATATCTATAGGCGTGCAAGAAGACTGCTAAATACATACGTAAGTAAATATGGTATTAGAGTAATAAATATAGTTATTAACGGTAACGCGGTTAAAATGATATTTCTGCTTAGTTCTGACTTCAAAAAATATTTCTTCCGAAATATTTAACGAGGTGGTAAAAACACGCTGGTAAAAGCCCACAGATTATAATTGAAAATTTGTTAGGATGAGAACGAGCATGGAAATTTTTACCGGTTTGCTGGTACCAGTATATATAATCGCTTGAATATTCCGACATGTGATGGCGGCGTGGCCCTTCGAGAATTTTCTCCTTCGGCTTTTCGCGTTTTCGCTTCCGAAACGAGCGAAGTCGTAATCGGTCGAGAGGCTTATTCAACTCCGGAATCGAAACGATTACGGTCGGAAGTGTAGCGCGCTTTTCTTTTGAAATTAGCTGCCTTTACACCGGCATAATGGTCGTTCGACGAGATGCAAAAGAGGATTAACTTAATCGCTCGTTTATTCCTACCGAATCGTGAAACTTTCCAAATACGATCTAGCGGCTCGCAGTTTTGTCTTTCCTTTTTCTTTTTCATTTTTCTTTTTTTCTCTTTTTCCTTTTATACCCATGGCAGCACGTTCCGATTATTTACAATGACTATCCGCTTGCTAAGCTATAACGATTATTCCCGGTAAAAAAAGAAACTTTGTGAAAAAATTGAAACGAAAAAGTATCGAAAAGCAAATTGACTAAATACCTTTAAATGGAATAGTCGAAACCGAGATATCCACATAGATGGCTGTAATTAATCTCAAACGATTTGCGTGACTTTCTTGTCAGTTTGCTTCGAGCTTTTATCGCGAGTTTTTCATTCCACTACCAACGTTTGTTAGTACGACGGTTGTACTTTTCTATGCTTAGTTCGTGCGTCCTACT